TCTAAGGTGTGGGCGTCTCACTCGTAGTGTGTCCCTGTCTGTTGTTCGCTGAACACTGAGCCTTGGGAGTGAGTTCAGGTCCAGACCCGAAAGATGACGAAGGGCCGTCGTCTCAGGGTTCCATCAGTCTCTCTGTGACCAGTCCGCCTGGTTCTTTTTTAAAGACATGTAGATAGTAACATCAAGGTCTTCATCGTTTCCAAACTAATACCTGATGCCCTTCATTCATCTGTCCAGAATACATACTGTGGACACGTTGCCAGGGGACCAGTCCCCGAAGAAGAGCATCAGCTTGGTCGAGGGCAGCGAGTAAGAGGAAGTCCCCCGAGGAGATGCATTGAGGCCAGGGCTGCAGCAATGGGCTCCAGCCCAGGAGCAGTTGTGGGGACGGTGTGGACCGGGCAGTGTTTCATTCCTCTGTGCACAGGGTCGCGATGGGTCGGAACCTACTTGAGGGCACCTAGCAACAGCAATAACAGCAACATTCATGTATGTAGGCCCATTTTTCCATCTGGCGTCATTTTTTTTTTTTTGCGGTGAAATGTTTTATTACGAAGATAGAGATTTAAGAACAAAAGCATAATTACATTCTAGTTTACATTTTTAAAATGATACATGAAAAATTAGTAAAAATGAAAATCTATAGTTATCTGAAATCTGAAAATGTTAAGCTGCTTCAACTATATCTTAGTTTGTTTCACTTTTGCTGACTAATCAAGCATATTTTGGTAAAGAAAGAGTCTAATTCTTTTATTTTAATTAATAATCCAGTGTGCTCTTCAAAGCTTGGCGTAGTCTTTAAGGATCATCTGAAGCTTCTGGGCCAGCATGATGTTCCCTTTTGCCTTCAGTCGTCCACGGAAGAAAGCCTTCTGAGGGTCGAGCTTGCCCAGGACCACCTGCTGAAGTCTTCGTCTGAAATCACAATGGTTATATCAGTAGAGCCTTTTGCAGGGCCTTGATACATCTGTCCAGAACCACTTCTTAGGTCAATAGTCCATTTAGCTGCAACGTTTCCAGTTTTAGTGTTATGCCACTCAAATGCAACATTTATTGTCTTTACCACCTCATGCCCAACATCTTTAAGGCGGTGGCCAATTTCCTCAAACACAAGGGTTACTCTGAAGCTCTCCACCCTCAGAGGGTGTCTTAGCTGAAATAACAAATGTTGGCACCCAATCTATGTATGCATTTGATATGATAATGTCTCCAGTTTCTCGGATCTTAGTTTGAAAATGGATTCTGTTTCCTTCCTTCCACATCTCCGTTTGCACAGTTTGACCTGGATATACTGGTTTTGCAAAACTCACCTTAATTGCCTTGAAGCTGGACACATTGTTATCTGAAAACTGCTTTTAAACATGCCTGGCAGAAAATCCAAATGTACATAATCCATGTAACATGGGCTTGTCAAAACCAGCTAAACTAGCAAAATCAGGATCAATATGTAAGGGATTCCAGTCTCCAGTGAGGTGATATAAAGCAGCCTGATTGAAAGAGGTGCTATCTGTAAGTACAGCATCTGGAGGCCGATTGGGTGTGGCTACAGCCATCTTGACTTTGTCTGATATTCGTTTTCCACCAAACCCTCCAGAGCCAACAATGAAGACAGAGAACTGATTATAACATACAACTTCCTTCTCAGAATATGACTAGACATCGATAAGAACCACTAAACCGGACTCTTTATCTAGGATATCAGCAATATGTGATTCACATCTTAATTTTCCTGATCTGGGAAGTGGTTTATATAACTCCAAATATTGCTCCCCATGAAGCACCTTTGCAAAGTTAATTGAAAGGCCAGGAACCTCTGCTAATCCTCCACCCATTACAGATTTCTGCACAATGATAACTCCAAAGGTAGGCAAACTGGAGAAATCAGAGCTTCTTTCATAAATGAATTTCAAATCTTTTGGATCCTTAGCGGACGCACCCACTCCAAGAGCATACATAATAGCTTCCAGTTCGGTATAAGCACAAGAAAATGAAGAGAGTTGATAGCCAATAGCACTTGCAAATCCTGATGTGGTTGGTGATGCTGCATGACTGGTATGATTCGTTGAAACTCTACTTTACTTAGAACGCCAAATATACTGCCAGTTGATTCTTGAATACTCTGAGGGGTGCTCGAATTATCAAAGTCACAGATTTGCGCCCATTTAGCTTTCACTGCCTCAGGAGTCATTGGCTGATTCTTCTGCCTTACAATGGCCCCAAGGGTTCTCTCCCAGTGTAATTTTTCAATCCATCCAGCTCCTACCTCAAGCAAGCCACCATTTTCCTCACAACTCTCATGGCAAAGCCAAAGGACCAGAGGTGCAACACAATCTGGCTTCAGAGCTTTGAGAACATCTTCTGGCAAAACAGTCTTAGCCATTCTCGATCCTGCAGTAGGGGCAAGTGTGTTGAAATGCATGTTGTTTTTTCGCCCTTCAGTTGCAAGAGTATTGGCTAAGCCCAGAAGACCCAGCTTTGCAGCACTGTAATTGGCCTGGCCAAAGTTGCCATACACTCCTGAAGCTGGTGAAGTCATGATGACCCTTCCATAATTCTGTTTCTCCATGTGGTCCCATGCTGCTCAGGTCACTTGGAAGGAGCCCCGCAAATGAACTCAATGGATTAAATCCCAATCTTCATCACTTGTCCTAGCCAAAGAATGATCCCTGATCATCCCAGCATTGTTGACCACAATGGCAGTTCTTCCAAAAGCACCCAATGTGTCTTCACAATCCTCTCTCCCGCTTCAACTGCAACATAGTTGGCCACTGCTTTGCCACCGTTCCTTCTTATTTCTTCAACAGCTTTATCAGCAGCTGAAGAGCTTGTACCATCTCCTTTAAAGTCTCCTCCTAAAGCATTCACAAGCACTGACGCACCTCATTCGGCAAAAGCCAAGGCATAGGCTCGACCCAGCCCTCCACCCCCGCCCCTCCAGTGACCAGCACCACCCGCCCGTCGAACCTCAGCGGCAAGGCCATGCTCCTGATTGGCGTGACACACACAACACACACACCCATCTGGTGTCATTTTGCTGCTGCTGAAAAGATGTGCTTCGTTGTTCATTTCTTGGAGTACAGATTTCCTGGGGGTGAGTTCTCTCAATGCTTGTATGTCCAATAAAGTCTACTTCACGTTCATTTCTGAAATGATTTTTGCTAGGTAAAGAGCTCTCGTTCCATTGCTGGCTTTTTTTTTTCTTTTTCTTTTTTTCTCTTCTCACGATGGGTGACAGTGTCCCTTTTGTGGACGTGCCTGGTAATTTTTGTTTGGAGGCCAAGGGTGGTGACATGGCTGCTTTGTTGGGTGGGTTCAACCGGGGCCTAAGATTTTCCCGCTGCTGTTGTTAGGTGACGTCTGATTGGTTCTGGCTCATGGCAGCCGTGTGCACAAGACTGAGAAAGCCCTGCTCAGCCCTACGTTCGAAAACCCTGTTACAATGGACACCAGGGAAACAAGGTTCTGGCTAACGATGGTAGACCTGTTGAAAGAGAGTTTAAAAGCCATTGGGTCCCGCCCCAGGTGGGCATTCACCGAGCGCATAGGTAACTAGTTCCTCGGAAGTCATGACACTGCTCTTCCGTGTGTAGTCATGCACCGGAATCCTTCACCAAGGTCAGGTCCACGGCACTCTGGGACACACCCTGTGGCCTCCACAAATGCTGCCTGGAAAGGCCACAGGCTCCAGAACACAAACACTGAACCTCATGGAAAGCATGAGGCCCAGGGTACAGAGAGGCTGTCATTCTTAGCCTAAGATATGAGTCAGGACCTCCCACAACGAGGGCGTGTAAAGCACCTTCCGAAGGCTCAAAGGGCTGGACTGAAGCCCAGATTTTCAGATGAGGCTTCTTTGCAGACAAGGAGAGAATGAACGACTTGGCCCAGCATTTGGCCTGTGACGCCCTGGAGCAAAATCTCCTTTGCTTCTGCCCCACCCCTTAGCCCTGCATCCTGTGACGGGACCGCCTCTTTCTCCATCCATCAAGACGTCAGGACTGCCCTGCTCATGGAGTGGCCCTCAAGAAGTGGATTCCCCTCTCTGGCCCCATTCCCCCCACCCCCTTTGAAACTGAGGTGCATGGACTAATCCTGAGATCAGGGAGCCCCATCATCAGAAATGCAGACCTGCTGTTGGTGGCCAGAGGCCAAAACAGATAGCATCGAGAGCCACCATTTCTTCTGCGATGGGTCTCTGTGAGTTTCTCAGAGCCCAAAGCGGCGCCCTGTTGGGGCAGAGCATCCAGAGGTTTACCATCTGTGTGGTCCAAAGGAGCCACTAGGAGGAGGTCCAGGGAAGACGTTGACAATTTCTGAGGAAAACAAGGGGAAGTTATTGATGGTGATGATGGTATGGATTTGCTGCCTTCTGGGGGAGGTGTTTTTTTTTTAGGGGGGAAGGTTCTTTACACTAAGACGCCAACTGCTTGAGAAATAAGCGTGCTTAAGTTCATCCACGAAGCAGATAAGAACGTGTTAAAAAGTCCTCTGAAAAGTGAATCCAACACGGTGGAACTAATCTAGCATACTGGTTATGCTGGTAAATGACCTTCAGACATGCGGAAACAAAGAGATGGGAAAAAACTTGTGGTTGTAAGAGTTACATATTTATTTCAATGTATATTATGAAAACAGATTGGGCTGTACTCCTCAAACATGTCACATGACCAATATGATTCCCTGACCTATGAAATCAAAACCTACTGCCCCTGAATTGATTCTGACTCCTAGCAACCCCACAGAGCAGAGTAGAACTGCTCCCCTAGGGTTTCTAAGGTGGTCAATCTTTACAGATGCAGGTAGCCAACCACATCTCTCTCCTGGGAGCGCCTGGTAGGTTCAGACCTCAGACCATGTGTGCTTTAGTCTGGGTTGACTAGAGAAACAAAGTCCTAGATACTCGTGTGTATAAGAAAGAGCTTTATGGTACATTAAGCAATTGTACATTAAGAAAGCATCCCAGTCCAGTCCAGATCAAGTCCATAAGTCTGATATTAGCTCATATGCCCAATACCAGTCTATAAACTCCTCTTGTGACTCATGCAACACATGCAATGATGCCAAATGCAGGAAGATCACAGGCCAGTGGGTGGAAAGTCTTGTGGATCCAGTGGCAGTGGAACCATCTCAGTGCTGGTGTGGGTCTCCATGTAGCTCCTCCAGCTCCAGGGCTCTGGCTGCATCAGTGTAGCTCCATGTGGCTTGTCGTCAAGAATGTCTCGCAGGGAGTGACCTGGCCTCCAGTGAGCTATTTTATCTATGTGGCGCCTCCAGATGAGGTCATCAAGCGGTGACCTAATTGACAGGCTAGACCCCACCTCTCCACAAGTTGACACCAGATTACATAACCACCACCATGTGGTGAGCAGCCCAACACTTAACCCACTGCACCACCAGGACCATAGCAGGTGTCTAAAATACTTAAAGGAATAAAATAAGAACCCTCGATACCATAAATAATTGACCTTGGATGGGGGCACAGTGACTGCAGTTGGGAAGTCAGTGGGGTAGATGAGTAGAGGCACACCTCGCCTCGTTGCATTTTATTTATTGCACCTGGAAGATACAAAAACACTGCCATTGAGTTGATACCGACTCACAGCAACTCTATAGGACAGGATAGAACTGCCCTTGTGAGTTTTTGAGACTGTAATTGTTTACGGGAGTAGAAAGCCCTGTCTTTTTCACACGTTTTTACACATTACATGTTCGTGGCAACCTGCATGGCACAAGTCTATTGGCACCCTGTTTCCAACAGCATGTGCTCGCTTTGTGTCTCCGGGTCTGTGTCAGTCTTAGAAGATCACAGGCCAGTGGGTAGAAAGTCTTTGGATCCAGTGGCATTGGAAACATCTCAGCGTTGGCAGGGGTCTCTGCTCAGGGTGGGTCCATGTGTCTTGTCAGCTGCTGTGTCTCCCAGGCTGTGAGCAGAGAGTCTCCCACCTCCAAGGAGAAAATACCAGATTTCCCAGAATTTTCAGGAAAAGGCCATGCCCACACAGAAGCCTCATTGGCGATGATCCATTGGACAGACTAGACTCCACCCCTTCACTCATAATCCTCTCAAATTGACAATTATATAATTACCACAGGGTCCCATTGTGGTCACTCCCACAAGATTTCCACTTTCTCATCAAGCTGCTGCACCCTGGATGATCTACTCACAGGTGCACACAAATAACTGCGCGTGGGTCAATTCTGACTCATAGCAACCCTAGGCTCTAGAAGGACAGGGTGGAACTGCCCCCATGGGTTTCTGAGACTGTAACTTTTTATGGGAGTAGAGGCCCCGTCTTCCTCCCCAGGACCGGCTGGTGGATTTGAACCACTGACCTTGCTGTTAGCAGCCCAGCAAGTAACCATGGCACCACCAGGGGTTCCTCCATCATCTACAACCCAGTATACACATACATTTTATGTTTAAAACCAAACCAAACTCCCTGCCATGGAGTTGGATGGCGACTCAAACTGCCCCGACAGAATGGGGTAGACCCGCCCCTGTGGAGTCCCAAGGCTGTAGCTTTTCATCGGGGGGAGGCTGCTGGATGTGTTGAACCGCCGACCTCGCAGTGAGCGGCCCCGCACACAATCCAGGACCCCACCAGGGCTCCCCGAGCAGTCTACAGCACAGTGGACACAGTTCTCTCTGCACTGCGAAGCAAGCAAAAACCTGCTCTGACCCACTTTATGGCGACACTCACCTCATTGTGGTGGTCTAGAACTACCCACAGTCTCTCCACGCAGTTCAGTTTGTCTAACTCCTCGGGGCACGACTTTGATGTAGCAGGTTGAAACCAGCATTTTTCTCATTCATGAAAACAAAACAGAAAAGAGGGAAAAGCCCAGGGCGACTGTACAATAGTGTCAACGAGATTTCTGTCCGGGAGCCCCTGTCCATGAAGTGGAAGAAAACTGCATATCCCCCTGAGGTGTCCGTGCCCCAGGGCCCTCATTAACTGTGCGTCATAGCACGCAATGGACAGCAGGGGGCAGACGCCCCACGCCACAGCGGAGTCTGCCTGCTTGCTGGCAGCAGCCCATGGCCAGGCCCGAGGGGACAGCTGTTAGCAGGGTGACCGTTTGTGAGGAAGAGACAATGTGGCATCGCCCAAGAGGCAGCCCTGCAGCCGATTTCCATTCTGTATCTCCAGATGGCATCCTTGCCTCTGCTTTCCGCAGAACCCGGCCGGCCGTGCGTCCCATGTCCAGCTTCTGTTTGTTTTCATTTTAAACCAAGGCCACCTGACAATGCCAACGTGGCAGGGCGCCCGTGTGCATCTTGGGGGATGAAAGCATCTTCCTGCGGCCTGGCCACGTTGGTTCTGGGAAACCCTCCTGTCCTGTCTCCCTGATTCGGAACGGCCTCCTCGCTCCGATTGAGGAGCCGTGGACCAGAACTCCCATCTGTCCCTCCCTCGCTCTCCTCTAAGCACTGCGTGTTAGAGTTCTCGCCTTCGCATTGTGATGAGGAAGCCAGGACACTGGGGTACGGGCTCAGGGGGTGTCACACACCCAGTATCACCTGTGGGGGGGAAAGCAGAGACAGAAGTCAAACCCAGGCAGGCAGGCAGGCTGGCTCCTGTGGGCAGGTTCTCAATCACTGGCTTTTGCTAGCAAAGAGGAACCTAGTCCCCTG